ATTCATTCATTCATTCATTCATTCATTCATTCATTCATTCATTCATTCATTCATTCATTCATTCATTCATTCATTCATTCATTCATTCATTCATTCATTCATTCATTCATTCATTCATTCATTCATTCATTCATTCATTCATTCATTCATTCATTCATTCATTCATTCATTCATTCATTCATTCATTCATTCATTCATTCATTCATTCATTCATTCATTCATTCATTCATTCATTCATTCATTCATTCATTCATTCATTCATTCATTCATTCATTCATTCATTCATTCATTCATTCATTCATTCATTCATTCATTCATTCATTCATTCATTCATTCATTCATTCATTCATTCATTCATTCATTCATTCATTCATTCATTCATTCATTCATTCATTCATTCATTCATTCATTCATTCATTCATTCATTCATTCATTCATTCATTCATTCATTCATTCATTCATTCATTCATTCATTCATTCATTCATTCATTCATTCATTCATTCATTCATTCATTCATTCATTCATTCATTCATTCATTCATTCATTCATTCATTCATTCATTCATTCATTCATTCATTCATTCATTTAGATTTGATGTACCACATATCATAGCGTGTAATAAATCATTATTCGTTATTAAGCTTTTTAACTATCAGCAATAAATGTAAAGAATATGGGTTGTGTGTGTGTGTGTGTGTGTGTGTGTGTGTGTGGTGTGCGTGAACTTATTCCACTCATCTCGAATGAGTTTTAAAGTAAAAAAGACGCGCGTACCAATTCAATAATTACTGATTGTTAGTATGATAAAATAAATTATCAAAAATTTTAACAAATTGATTAACGAAATGTCATTAGCTTATTTCAAATCTAAACATTCCACTAATCCGAATTTAACATCGACTAATGACGGACACCAAGCCCACAACTTCTAAACTCTTGATCTAAACGAAACATTAACTAAAGAAAGTGATAAAAAGCGATAAGTACAAGTTTGGTAATAAGTACAATACATGCTATTTACCTTTAATAGCTTTATTATAATATGTTTGCGACTGTAGCAAAGACCTATATATTTATTCTACATATATGCTACGTGCTTTAGTATTTGTACATATTTTCAAGGAAGTACAGTTTAAGTGTACTTAAAGTTTACATCATAAAGGTTTAAGTTTACAGTACAGCAGATTTACACGCATTTAATGTATCTCG